CTATACAGATGGGACAAGTTTTAAAACGTTTTTTGTCACCGTATTTTTTATAGGACTAAAATGCCCTTTCCTCCACAAGCTCCATCACCGCCGCCGTCTTCTAGCTTCGATCGTCGTCGCCGGCCTCATCTTCAAGCTCCGTCACCACTGTCATCACCCATCGCAGCCACAGTCTCCACCGCTGCTGTCGTGCGCCACATCTTCCGCCTCCATCGCCGTTGTGGGCCTCATCCATAGCATCCGTCGCCGTCGTCGCGCGCCCCAGCCGCCGCTTGCACCACCGCCGCCCTAGCTAGCTGCGGCCTCGTTAGTAGCAGCCCACCGAGCGCGTTGCAGGTGGCAGCGACGGCGAGGACGCCGCCGCCCAGGCCCCTGCGGAATTACCCCCCTCCCCGAGCTCCGACGCCGCCGTGCCGAGTCCTCTGCTGCTTTTCTCCTCCTTCCTGGCATGCTGAATGAAGTGGCACAAAGGGCGGATCCGGCGGCCACCTCCTGCCCCACCTTGGAGAGCTCTGATGCCGCCGCTGACCTGAGCTCCATCCCCCCATCACAGGGAGGTGGATCTAGGGACTAGGGAGGTAGGGAGGTGGCCGGACTAGGGAGGTGGCCGGACTCCATGGCAGCAGCGGTGGGTTGTGGGATAGAGGAGTAGCGCACGGGAATGGGGCGTGGAGGTCGCTGTTGCCGTCACCGTTCCCCGTTGCTAGCCATGCCTGCCTCCTCGGGGGGAACTGCGTCCGCCAGTCGTCGGCACCGCTCCCGGCGGCGGCATTGAGCAAGTGGGCTTTGGTAGCATCGGAACTCGGGGAGCGGATGATGGGGCAGCGCGGCTAGCTGGCGGCGTGCGGCTGGCCGGCGACGTGCGGCTGGCTGGCGGTGTGTGGCTGGCCAGCGGCGTCGGTACTCGACGCGGGCGAGAACGAGAAGAGGAGAAGACTGGGATGTGGGAGAGAAGAGATGGAAGACAGGGCCCACATGTCAGCGAGTTGGAGACGGGGGCAGTTTGGGCAATACGAAATTACAATGGTCTGCACGTGGGCCCAACGGTCTCCAGGGCGTAGAAAATGGCATGTATCAGATAGAGAAAGAATTGTAATGGCATATTCCCAATTAGGTGAACTAGGAAGGTGGCCCGCGCGTATGCGCGGGCACTTGTATTATTAAAAGGTAAGATTTTTACTGTTTGTTCAAAAATTTTGTCCGATAGATTATGTGCAAACTAAAGTTCAGATACTGTTATTGTGTAATAATTTAAAGGTTCTATTTTTCTTAAACAAACTTTTGAGTAGGAGGTACTTACGACTTTTAAATCATGTTCTTTTTCTCGAGTAAATAATAAACTATTACTTGTAGTATTGCTACAAATGAAAAAGTGAGAGCAAGATACTTAAAATTCTTGTGATTAAATCATCTCATGAAGGTGCATGATACAATAAGAAAGGGAGAGAAGCGTATACATGGAGAAAAAGAAGAAAGGGAAAAATGGAAAAAAGGGAGGGGAAGCGTAGGTACCCATGTACGTAGGTGCGTACCGAAGGTGGAGAGGTGGAACCTCGTAGTATTTAGTTTGTTCTAAGATCAATTTAATCTAATAGTTTATAATATTGGACCCATTTATTTAAGTGAAAATCAAGTAATAGATACTTTGCTTTTTTTCTTAGAATTTCTAATATTTTCTCTAATTTACTAGAGCACCACGTGGCAGCTTGAGGGCATTTTAAGAAATTTTAATGGACTTACCACATGTAATTAGAATATTAACCATGTAATATATATGTATGGGATATATGTTAATATTCATTCTAACTTCGTCCATGTTTATATACAGACCTATTTACAATTGTTTATAGTAGCTCCTACAGATTCATCTTACGACTTTGATTATGCGTTGATCACCAATTTACTTATCACCATGACTCGCATGAAAAAATTATGTACTACCTAGGGTTTAGGGTTTAGGACAACTGAAATTGATGAATTATCTGATTTATGTGATAGCTATTTGAGATTATAAATGAATGAATTTACTTTTAGAAAGTTAAAAAGATATTTAAGAAAAGCACCATTTAGAAACTTGGAAAGCGTGGAGCGTTCAAACGAAAATCCAAAAGATGGAATCAGGGAAAAAATAGGGCCTTAAACTCCCTTATAACACTCTTATCCTAGTAAGAGTTATATTAATATTCGTTAATATTGTGCTCACATTTGTAATATAATGATTTGTTTCAATTGTACGAACAAATAATACAAAATATGAATACAACATAACACAAAACATTATAATTATTATGTAATCAACTATCAATTTCGGCTTAAACAGAGCTAAGTGTTCCCACGATGCTTAATTCTTCTCTCACTGCATCACACATTTAATTTTCTTTTCATGTTATTAACAAAATCGGTAGCGCTGCAGCGGTCATGATCACCTGAGATGCCTCAGACATGACGCTTTGTTACACATGCGAAAGGAAAAGGTGTAGACGTGTATTATGCAGCGGGCCAAAAAGAGAACTTTAGACACTTTAGTTATTAATAATAGATCCGATGATTTAAATAATGGGTCGTACTTGTTCTAGTGTAAATGTAAATTAGTTAATATATATTTTAAATTGTTAATTTAATGGGTACACAATATAATGGTGTAGACTTTATTTTAAAACAACGTATTATTTGAGAATAATAGTCCAAAGTAATTATAAAAATAGATCCAATGATTTAAATAATGGGTCTATCTGTTTAAGTGCATGTATATATTAGTTAATATAGATATTAAATTGTTTATTTGATAGGTACACAATATAATTGTGTAAATTTTATTTTAAAATAGTGCATTATTTGAAAATAATAGTACAAAGTAATGAGTACACCGGTTTAAGTGGAAGCTATCTTACATTATTGATTTAATGGGTAAACATATAATATGGTGTAAATTTTATTTTCAAAGATTATAGAGCTAATTTAGTTATCTGTGTTTATAAAGAGTTATATGATGGTATATTCTTTATTTGTAAAATTATCAATTGTATATAAATGGAAAAAAGAAGTAAAAAAGGAAACAAAAGGGAGGGAGGCGTACGTACGTACGTACGTGACCTACCTATGCACGTATAAAGAGGAGAGGTGGGACCCATAGTATGTGGTTTGTTTTAAGATTAATTTCATCTAACGGTGTATAATATCGGACCCACCAATTTAAGTGAAAATGAAGGGGTGGATGTTTTTCTTTTTTCTTAGAATTTCTAGGATTTTCTCTAATTTATTAGAGCGCCACGTGGCAGCTTGAGAGCGTTTGTAGGAAGTTTAATGAACTTTTAGTATATAATAATAGAAGATAGATAGATTGTGATGGTATTTTTCAAAACTGGTAAATTTGTAATGGTATGGTTCTAATTAACCCCCCAAAAAATACTCAACAACAAGTGCATCGCAAAGGTCTACTTCATCGAACAAGTCGTGACGCCATCCAACCAAGGCAGACTCAGTTTCAGTGCCGACAACGGGCCTGCCTAAGAAGATGGTGAGTGGCAGCGCCAGTTTGCTTTTTGGCCCTAAGAAGCCTGAGGAACTGAAGATTCCAATTCCAAAGTCAGCGATCGATCATTTTATAAAGTGCGCACGGCTGAAGCCACCGAAGAAACCTATATCGGACTTTTGGGGAACTATTAGAAACAAGGATCTGCATGATCAGGCTAAGGAGTAGTTCATTGCAGAGAAAGCGGCCAATGAAGTGACATTCTGTAAATCAGCCGGTCAAGACAACCTAGAAGATCTAGATAATCATCTAGAAGCTGAAGTGGTATTGCAGTACTAACCTGGAAAACCCCTGGTCGTTAACTTAGAAACTCATTGACTAGGAACTCTAACGTGCTGGCTGCATAACTGGTATTTGGAGACGGCCACACGGGGTCAACAAATGATCTGTGCGCCAAAGAAAGCTAAATTGGTGTATGCGACAATTGAAAATTTTCTGGGTTGGATGTGAAATGTATGTGAATGTGAATATGAAATATGAATTTTCTGTGAATGCTAGGATGCTGGGATTATTTCTAGGTTGCTGGGATCATTTTGCAGTGGGTGTGGCTAGCAATTTTTTGAGGTTAGCATCCTCATCCGTGTCGGGCCAAAAAAAACCATCACTAGCATAGACATTGGTGTCGGGTATTACTGCCGACCCGTCACCGATGATCATCCGTGATGAGCTCTAAAAGATTCCGACAAAGGTGACGGCAACACCTTTATTAGGTTGCAATTGGAACTAGTCACCGATGATCATGATGGGATCTAAACGAATCCGACAAAGGGGACGACAACACCTTTGTCAGGTTGCAAGTGGACCCCGTCACCGATGACATGTCCGTGATGGGCTGGAGAACCTATCGGTGAAGGGTGGGATTTGGGGCCTGACAAAGATATCTATTGTTGATGACAGCATCTGACCAATAATTAGTGACCACACACTTTTGCAACATAGATGAGTTTCCGGCCCGTTACGGATGACAGGTTCCATAGTAGTGGTTATTTCTTGGATCCTATATCCATTCGGTTGATTTTATTGGGCATGTTTGGTTGATTGCCATTTGGTTGCATTTTGACGATGGACACCTCTTGCCAAGTTGCCATACCAAAAATAAAAAAAAAAACAGGGCTGTCCATCTCCACAATTTTTTTTTGCTGGCAAAGTGGCAATTGCTTCATTTGGTTCACTGCCAAAGTAGCATTCTAACACTGGGCTAAAAGAAATAATTTGTGCCAAAGTTAAAAAAAAATTTTGCAACAAAACAGAAACCACTACTATTGTGCCAAAAAAATTTTTTTTGGGCTACAAAACAGAAACCACTACTATTTTGGCAGTGCCAATCTTTTGGCCTTGCTGAGTTTTGTAACAATCCTAACGAATTAACCCGTAGTCTTTATGTAGCTACATATCGCCTAAACAGGGCGAGCTAGTTAAATAGTACTGGACCCTTTTATCTCTTTATTTGAAAAGCGGTATAATATCATAACTCATCTACACATTCTGCACTCAAATATTAGAAATAACATAGATCGAGATTAGCAATCTTAATACTTTATACAGAGTATATCATACTTTTTATACATAATCATCTGGGGCTAACTGTTTAATAACCACAGATTCAATTCCAACTATGTCATTTCAGATCAGCTCATCATCCAAGTGACCAGTGTCCATCAACGAACACCTGAATTGTGATGTTCAGATGCCTTCCGCTTGTTCTTTCTCCATTCCCACGGCTTCTCAGGGTTATCATATGCCCAAAGCCCTTGTCGTGCATCACGTGCCATTTTTTCCCACTTCACAATCAGAGGGAAAAGAAATAACCAAAGCAGTTCCATCATAAAATGCACACAAATACGCACACCGTATGCCTATAGAGTTCTCAAATGAGATTGGAATTTCAACTGCATGGCAATTTTTTTTCCAAAAATTAAGTTCAAAATAGAGAACTACTGTTTAAAGTTGGATCTTCGAGGTATCAAGTACAAGATCTACACTCTTTTATGTTCCAAATAATCAACATGGAAAGAAAAGAACATGCAGTGATGCACCAAACTGTTGTAATTTCAACATAAATTGAATTTGAACTGAAAATTATACAGGAAGATATGATAAATCGAACATAAATACTATATTAAAGAAAACCAGAAGTCGTGTTGATTCGTTGTGCACGCGCGGTAATATGATCCGTTACTTTCATACTGCAAGTATGACTAACAATTTGAGAGTCTTAAGGTGCTAATAATATTTATCATTTTCAAAGTTCAAAACGGAATATACACATAGCAGAATATATATATGAATATCGCAATTAAAGAATATACTTAAATATACTCCATAGCTTCTTACCTTCGCAAATTGTGGCCGTTTGTCATAGTTCTTGAAATGCCAGGCATGACCAGTCACCAGCATTTGCTCCTGAAATTAAAGATTACACCACATTCACCATCGTTTCCATCCAAACAAAATTATTCAACTAAAAGCAATAACTAATGAAACAATGGTGTATGGCTTTCTGTCCACCTGGATGAAAACACCACCACAATGGATATCACACACGAAGCGCTTAAATTGGTCCTGCCTGTTAGGAAACCTATGGGCTTGGGCCCATAAAGACCCAGCCCATATATACTAATTGGGCCCACACCGAAACCTTCCATATCTGGAGGAAGGCTATATAAGGAGGAGAGGGGTGCTCATTTGTGTACACTTGTGCTTGAGGATGATAGAATGATGAATGAGAAAAGAGTCTCACCCCTACATCTTGTGTCTCTACTTTTCTAGAATTACGGGACCCTCTTGGACTACTTCGTGCACGACGTTCTACCGGAGACCGAGGAAGAAGGGTAAGAACTCGTAGTTTCATTTTGCATCTCGCCGATTCAATCGCGAAAATGAATTCCTCTCCTCGTTCTCATTCCGTTCTAGTTTCCTGGACAAATCTGCTACCGCCGACTTGCAGTCGCCGGCGAAAGCCGATTAGCGATATCCCGGAAAAGCTAGCTGGCTGAGCGCGTCCCTCCGCGCCATGCCGCACACGGATACCCCGGCGACAGGCCACATCGTCCTGGACGCACGCCGGCCACCGCACCCCCATGGCTGCACTCGCGCCATCACTGGCAGCCGTTCGCGCTCGCCATGCATGGCCATCGCCTCACTGCAACTAGGGCACGCAGCAAGCCCGTGCCGGACGCATGCGCCATGGCAACTAACAGCAAAACAGGTGAGGAAAACAAATGAAACAAGACAAAGAAGAAGAACAAGAAAAAGACGCCAATGGAGACGTCGGCCACGCGCCGGCCACCGCATGGCCTCGCCGCCGCACGGCCGTGCTGAACCGCGCCACTGCACCGAACTCCACGGCATCACGACTGGTCATCGCTCATCCGCGCCCTGCACAGAGGCCGCCGCTGGCAGCACCCACGCTGCAGCCGTTGTCGGCGCACGGCCGCAGCCGAGCCGCGCCACCATTCTGGCCGCGGCCGCCGCGCCTCCCCGACCACACGAAGTTAACGGGAAGAGAAAAGAAGAAAAGAAGAAAATTGAAAAAAAAAGGAAAAAAGAAAAACAGGAGGTAGCGCCGGCCGCCGCCCGGCGCCGGACGCCGGCCTCGCCACGCCGCGCGCCGCGCCGCCTCACCGGATAGTCGCGCCGCTGCTCCGGCCGCGGCCGCCGACACATCCTAGCCACCGCGCCCGCTGGCCCGCGCTCGCGCCACCGCACGGCCGCGTCCGCCGGCCCGCACTCCTGCCGCCGCACGGCCGCGCCCACCACCCGGCCTCCTCGCCGCCGCGCCCCGCATGGCCACCGCACGTACGTGCGGCGCCCCGCGAAACCGTCCGTGCACGCCGGACCGCGCGTCCGTGCTCTGGCAACGTCGCGTCGCCGCCGCGAGCCACGCCACCCCGTCTCCATCACCTCCCGGCTGGCCGCCGTGCCGCCGCCCCGGCTGGCGCCTCACCGCCGCCGGCTTGGCCGCCCCGCGCCACATCCGCATGGCCGCGCCGCCGTCCCGCTCCGTCCCCACCTCGCCGCGCCATTGGCCGCTTGGCCGCGCGCCGGCCGCCGCCGCGGCCGCCCTCGCCACACGGCCGCGCGCCGGCCGCTGCCGCCGCCGTGAAGGCCATAGATGGCATCGGCATCAGAGGAGGAAAAGAAGGAGAAAAGAAGGAAAGAGAAGAAGAAAAGGAAAGAAAAAGAAAAAAAGGGAAAGAATCCTGTGATTTTGTAAAAATGCCCTTTCTGTTTTTGGAAATTAAGTGCATGTTTCTCTGCATTGGAATCTTTGCATTTTCAACCCTGAATTTTCAAGAAAACATACAAATAACTCTCTGCATTTGGGATAATTGTTTGAATGGCATTCGGAATTTGCAAATATCACCAAAATCATATTCTCGCATAAAAGAACCACGGGACATTGAATTTCGACCCGACTTTGTATTTCAGGTACCTTTATTGCTGATGTTTATGATTATGAAATTTAATTATCGCATTTACGATTATTGATTATTTGATGTTTTTATTACTTATAATTAATATCGTTGCGATAAAATGTATAGAATTGTATAATATATATTGGAATTATCTGCTGGAATTTTATGTACCATTATATTGCAACACTTGTGCATTTTACCTGCATTTAATTTGCGCATATTTTTTAATATCCGAAGATGACTGGCATCGCGAACTAGAAGTTCACCGGATCTCTGACATATGCACTCAATGTCAAAATTATAATGGACCTTGCAGCACCATGACATCATTAAACCTAGCGCTTTATTTACTGATTCGACGAGGTTGATTAAGCATTTCAATCTCTCGTCGGTGCTTCCAAGCTACACTAAGGAATGAGTATGCTAGATGGATAAGCGAATTGGTACTCTTTTGACTGCACGGAAGAAGCAGCTTAGAAGATTATGGTGCAAACCCTATCTCTCGTAGAGTAAGTACTATGAGCAAGAATGGATATTTTTTTAGACTATGATTCACTGAGCAAATGACCCAGAGAGTACGGTTATACGGTGCACCGAATTTGCACCGAATACTGTGAAACTCTTGATGTTCTACCCGAACGCGACGAAAGTCGCACGCAAACATCACTGGTGCACATACAAGAAGTATGCCTAACTAGTTGATAATAGAATTGCGTATCGTTCGGCATAGTGTTCGTTAGAAGAACATTGTCTTCCCAAACCACCTAGCACAGTTGATAATGAATTCAACACGAGCAGCTAGCCCGGTGCACTTACCTCAATGAGAAAAGAGGACAAGGGGGAGTAGAACACATGTCAAGGTGAACAATCTATGAACATGAAAAGAAAAGAACAATCCTAATAGCACACTCATCATGAATTGAGGGGGAGAGCTCCTAGCCTATTTTCATGACTATGGACATAGAATCTCCTATGCTAGACAGGATCAGCCCTGAAACTTATGTCAGAATGCCATAACTGTTGAGCAAGAAGCTCGCTATGAAGTTAATTGAATCCGATGTATCGGAATACTTCGTTGAATCAATATACTTCGTTATCAATTGTTGCAATTTTTGAATAGAGCATTGCATCGAAGAAATGGTTCTTGCCCAAGTAGAGCACACATTTTCCCTGCAATAGAGAATTATTTTTAGTATAAAATAGCATATTTAAGGCATTTACTATTTTGTTGCTCCTTTCTAGCACATAGTTATAATGATTTAAATTTTGTGTAGCGTCCAAACATAAAAGAAAAATGAATTGTGGTCCGCATAACCACAAATAACACTTTAAGAGAAAGAGGTATTTCCAGACCCATAGAACTGGAAATATTATGACCGTTGCAAGCAGCAGCAACTGAATTTGTCGGCCTAGAAAGTGCCACGGTCATATTACCTATGGAACAAATGATGCACTTTATAGAAGTATCTATTGTCCGTCAACCCCGGTGAACTCTCTAAAAGTGTGATGATTTGGGCTATACCTTTTAGTAACGGATTTTCAGCCATTTTGGTCTTAGAATTATAAGAATAAACATTATAACTCGTATGATCATAGCACATACATGCATAATTTTTCTAAATCATGAAGATTTGTGTGCCAGTGTGCACCGACAGGAGATTAATGCATAAACCGCACATAGTTCCAGCATCCCTGAACTGGATTTCGAGGAATATCTGCGGCTCCCATTTGGTATTGTATGAATATATGCGCTTCCGAAGCAGCAAACATCCAGTATCTCATAAACAGCATGTCTTTGCCAAGACTGATCCAGCAAGATCACATGAACCCCAATAGAACTCACTAAAATCATCTTTAGAAGTCCGGGAGGACAATGCTAGCATTGCATTTGATGATTAGTGAATTGGCAGCACGAAGTACCAAATATCCGCATAAGCAGACCAACTATAAGCTATGAATTGCAATATTTGCTATATCATTGTTGTAATACCCGCAGTAGAAAATGACATGTAGTCCTGAAAGCAACGGACTCTGAAAGCAAATTCAGACCATCGGCATGAACACCCATCCTGCAACTAGTGCTATTGCATCTGTTTGGTTTATGTGCATATCCCACTATCATAATGCGTTGCAAAAGGCTCTCTCCAAAAGTCGGAAACCTTTTACGGAGATAGTTATGAAGCCTAAGTTCCTTGACAAATAAGAATTATTTCCAGTCATTTAGGGGGAGAGAATGAACCCCTACATAGGAAATGTCAGGAAATATGATAGTCCGGGACTAATGCATGTTACACTGCACTAGTGAATGCAGTTTGCATAAAGAATTAAAACTGCCAAATCACTTTGTAAATACTTTTGTGATTTCGAAGAGTTTGACTAAGTTGCATAAATGAAATGCACCGGAGGAGGGTGATACCGAAGAAAGTAAAGGTACCCCTCGTCTTGTCTAGAGACCTCGAATAAAAAGAATTGGACAAGAAACTTCGGTTCCTCACACCCCTAAAGTAACTAGAGACGTCTGGTGAAAACTGGGCAAGAGGGACTATCATACTCAAAGTCACGAAAAGTACCCCCACGGAATAGAAGGGGAGCCAGTTGAGATCTGGCAAGTGGTACGGAACCTCAGAATAGGCGTACCGCACCTTCCCATCAAGGAAGAAAACTAGCTGTTGGAGTGCACACTAACGTTGGTACATGCCCACATCAAGAAGTATTAAGCAAAGAAGAAGAAGAAGCATATGAAAATGAATCTCCTCGTATATCCATGGATATTCGCATAAAGTCTCATGCAACCAATAGAAGTTAGCAATGAGACCAATTATGGGCAATGTCTCTTTTAGACAACAAAATTCATTGGCAGTCAACCTGGAGTTGAATGGAATTAGTGAACTAGAAGTTAAAAGGAAGAATTCAACCTGAATATTGATAAGCATTGAAGATAGAATCAATGAATGCATTTTAGGAGCTTGGATTGGAGACTTGCATAATAGTACATGAAGAAGTACTAGGTCCCGAACCAACCCAGAAAAGAATAAGAATAAACCAGAAAAGAATTGAAGAAACAAACTCGTTCGTTTTGAATTTGAGTTTGAACTATTTGGCCGAATCCAAATCATGCTTACGCTTGCAGCTAATGGCATGCGACAGATGGAAGCCTAGTACATCAGTCTAACCGCACTTAGAAATGTTCATGGTGCATGGTTTTGGAATAGTCAATTATCGCCAAATGGGATGGAACTCCCAAACACGAGTGTGTCATAGCAGCACATGAATACTTGGCTAATTGAACTAAACCGAACTAAGCGTCGTTGAACTATTCAGAGCCTCGGCATGGCTTTGTGAGATGGTTACCCGTGACAACAATCGCGATTTGAAAACTATCCTAACCCCCACCATTTATGAAATTAAAGTAGCATATGTCGCACATATGAGTTATGTGAGAAGCAAACTCACTAAGCATATGAACCCCCAAGCTCTTCTATGTACATGAATTGCATAGAAGCAACGAACTAAGTCATGTGAAAGTCTTGCAGATTCATACACTAACTCATTATTTACATCTTCCCTTGAATAGGTGTGCCCGAGAAATCGGAATAATGAAACTTAGATAAATGCAAAATTCAGGGGGAGAATTTCGCTAACTCATTTTAGAATCTTGATATAGAAAATCAAGTACCCAAAATCAATCTAGAAAGATTGAACGAAGAATTGGGTGAATTGTACTCTTTTTCCCTTGGATAAGTTTTCCCAGCAGTTTCTTATCAAGGTTTTTAACGAGGCAATTCGTGCAACATTGCAAGCGTATGCTATGTACTCTTTCTCCAAATTTTTCCCACTGGGTTTTTGTGGAGTTTTAATGAGGCATAGACATCACGCGGTGAGTGCCCAAGGGGGAGTGTTAGGAAACCTATGGGCTTGGACCAATGAAGGCCTAGCACATATACACTAATTGGGCCCACACCGAAACCTTCCATATATGGAGGAAGGCTATATAAGGAGGAGAGGGGTGCTCATTTGTGTACACTTGTGCTTGAGGATGATAGAATGATGAATGAGAAGAGAGTCTCACCCCTACATATTGTGTCTCCACTTTTATAGAATTACGGGACCCTCTACTTCGTGTAGCAGGAGGGTTGCGTAAGACTCTTTTTCTGCTCCGCAGGCCCACCTTCCTTCCTATCCGGACTGGTATACTGCATGCAATCAATCAGGATGATAATCCTCTATAATCTTGTACCGGTCCATCTTATCACCGTTGTTGCTTCATCCAAAATTCCAAATCATGTGCATGCTATTAGTACTGCTCTCCATTCTGCACCATCTGCCTGTGATGTGCTACAATAGAAACCTACTCAGCAGCATCCGCATAATCCACATACATATATATCTCCAAACCATGTGAGATTCTGCAGCCACCCAACAAATTGCACACACAAATTTAACCAGCTCTCAAGCAAGCCATTCAATTAATCGTGAAGGCTAAACTAAACAATCTGACCTGCCTAAATGAATTAACTACTAGCCAAATTATGGCATAAACACTATTCACTCCCATCCGTCTTCTTTCGTTTCGGTTCATTAGAAACCAGTTCCAAAAGTAATGTCACAGTTGATTCACTATAAAAACCAACAGTGATACCACTGCAGATTCCTCTCGTGTGACTTTAATTTCCAACTTGGAGATCTAGTTGTTGCCTCTCCTGCATATATACACGAGCTAGGAGGGACTACTACAATGGTAGAAGGCCAAGCCATTATTGTCCACAGCACAACTTTTGACACCTATTCCTTGATCGTCAAGGAATATTTTCAATATCAAGGGGTATTCATTAATGAGCATCAAACCTAAATGATAAAAATATGTGAAACTAACAACTGTTCACTACATGATATGCAACCTTTGCCGACGGTGAAATCACCGTTGGCAATCCTAAAAAACTGTAGGGAATGTATCAAAACTAAATGATAAAAATATGTGAAACTAACAACTGTTCACTACATGATATGCAACCTTTGCCGACGGTGAAATCACCGTTGGCAATCCTAGAAAACTGTAGGGAATGTGGTAGCCGACAGTTTACGGTCGGGAATTGTCGGTCGGGAATGAGTGTCGGGGATTTGTCAACTCACCGACGGTGATTCTATATACCGTTGGCCATTAAATTTCCAACGGAATATTGCCGACCGTAAGACCGTCGGGGTTTCATGGATCTCTGTTACAGTCTCGGTAATGGATTTTAGGATTCCCTACAGGACAATTGGATTCCCAACATAGGAAGTTTATTTTGGCAGTTTTCTAGTAATGTAGTTTAATAGTAAATATGAACAAGATTCATGACCAAACAAATACTGTGAGTTTTCTAGAGTTTTCCACTACTCGATCAGTATAGTACAATTAGCCAAACATTTGGCTTAAAACAAATAGTTTTCTTAATGAATCTAAAGCTAATCAGTTGGAACGAATGTCAAGAATATGACTTCAGCCATGCATAACATCATCATGATCGTCACCATAATACTCTCCATTATCATCAACATGATCAACACCATAGTCTCTAACATCATCATGAGCAGAACCACCATCTCCATGATTTAATTCACATGCTTTTCTTTTTGAGGAGCTTGATGCACCATACATTGAGCTTGATGACGACTGTTCATTCATAGATAAAATTCACCCAGATTATAATGGCAAGTCAACTTCTATAGTACTGTCAATACACAAACATTTAACCAAGATTTTACTCCTAAAAAACTGTGATTCGTATCATCGATTCATAACATGTACAGACTATAGAAACTGATGGAAGCAACAGGGAGCATCCAAGTCAATGGGAACATTAGAATTTGCCAGGATAAAGTGCATTCAAAGCAGTACAATATTTACTATTGTTCTCCCATGATCAGACATACATAAAGTTAATGTTCTTAGTCCATATCAGGTTGCTAATGACCTCAGTCAGCATGTTGTGTAATCCAGGAAAGCACAGGTTAAATGATAGGAATCAACTCTAAGTGTCTTTGTAGAGTTGATATATTTTGAAAGATTTAATTAGGGCTTGTTTGGATGGTGCCCTGACCTGAGTGCTCTCACTCAGGCAGGTGCATCCAACTGCAGGCCACCAAAATCAGACGCCTAAGAATCATGCCTGACTCAGGCGTGATTCTCAGGGTGTGAACCAAACAGGCCCTTAATACATTGGGTGCAGTACGAAATTCGCCATGCGCAGTGCAATTAATTATCCCATATTTAGAGCTTAGGTATGCTGCTAGCTTGCTAAAAACTAGTGCAAACCAGACGACATCTGATATATTAATCATGATTTTGATTGTTATAATCTAAAACAATATCCCTATAGGTGGTCTTAGGGAACCTAGGTTGCAGGCACTTGCACATGTATGCTGCTACATGAGCAAAATTAAAGTGACAAAAAGTCAATTCTATTTGTTGACCAAGACAGACATACAAAATATTTTAGCAGCCAACTATTATAATTTTACGAACATAACTATTACCGGCATCAGAAGTACAAAGCATATGATTTCTTCTCAAAAAATGTGCATAGAACACTATTCATAGCATAAAAGATACTAGTCCATTTATGTACACAACAAATCTAGCATCAGGGCATATGATTTCTTCATAAAACTCTGTATACCATAGTTATTTCTTTTATTACCTTCCCAGGAGATTTGTTACAATACAATGCCCTTATGTCAATTGTACTGACTACACTATCTCCCATTTGCAAATCTCCCATGGGGCAGGCCTAGAAATATAATTTAGACAAATAAAATTGCTAAGAAAAACATATAGTAGCTATATATAATGTAGCAAGCTTAGGAATGAAAAGACACACCCCACAAAAAAAAAAGGAATGAAAAGACAAGCTACACATATCAACCCAGAACTACATAATTTTTATACAACATAAATGAAACAGGAACAATTGTAATTACTTCTATACACATTCAGAATTACTTGCACGTACTACAGTTAATTGAGTTGATTATTACCTGATATGTCATGTACAACTGCATGATCTATGTCTAGATTCTTCGCTAGCCAATCCTCATCATATTTCTCTCTCATTGCATTATCATATTTTGCCTTTCAACAGAAAACGATGTTCAACATTAGCTAAAGTCTTGGTACAGATCCTACAAATATGACAAATTTCAAGAATTCACAAAAGATAACAAGGGAAGCTAACCTAAAAAATAGCAGTTTTCTCACAGCAGAGCCCTCTTGGCCCGTCATGTTCCATTCGGTGTTGATGATGCCATGCTCCTGCCTGCCCAGGATCAACTCCATTTTTGGTCTTCTACATAATTTGTTCAAAAAGGCAGCAACAACACATGTGAATGATAACAATAGCAGCAACACGTGAGAATGCCAACTATTGCAGAACAAATTATTTTGTACTAAACAAATTATTCTGAATAATGTGACAACAGTGTGGATAAGGAGCCATACAAATTAAGAGAAAGTAGGAAACTTACTAGGAATTGTCGAGTCCCTAATAAGCCACGTGATCCGCTACGATGGTATACAGTGTTACCTCCTACCAACCGATTCTCCTTGCCACGCATTGACATCTTCCTGAAACTTGGTGTACTCCAGTACATGCATAATATCCTTGCTGGAAACCATTCTGCAGCAAGTGCATTGTTACCTCTTCTCTCTTTCTCTTGTGCGAGCACACACATTTTCCTACATGGACACCTTGATGTCCCATCACTCAATGCCTCAGGTAATGAAAACGCATGCTCTACAAAATGATCTACCCCAGTAGCCCATACTTGGCTGTATAACCTACCTTTTCATTCTCTATACATCCAACTACGATTTTCCTCCATATATGAAACTGAATCTTCAATGCATAAGTTAGTGTTCCCTATTAAAATTCATTCCTAGAATTAGTTCTAGGGCTCAATAAAATGTTAATGAAAGAAATATTATATGGTACTATAAGATTTTGAAGCACAACTATATTGACTCACTTGGAAAGGTAGCAGTGTTCTATCAGTACATGATTTGGCAATAAACTTGGCTTAAATGTTCAGCTGCAACCACTAGTTTTATTGACATATCACACTGGTTTATTAAAAAAAAGAGAATATGCATTAAAGATATGCTCTACAGATAAATTTTGATTTAGACATTGAAAATTAGTTTGTTAGGTCTCTCAAGTAAACTTTGATTCTGTACAGTCAATTATGTCACAAACTAAAGTGATCATACTAATACCATTTACTCACACATTCAGGCTTCATGAGAACTATGCAACTCATATCTAGCTAGTTATTCCATGCTCATGCCAAATTACATTTAAATATATGTTGCTCATGCTAAACCACATTTAAATATAGGTAACAAATCACGACAAAACACAAAACCCACATGTAAATCCATGCCTTTTGACTTCATACCTAATTTTTAATTGAATAACGACATCAAATTGGCCGAATTTTTTATTTATAATAATTAATAATATTTAAATTAAATAATTAGTAATTCTTTGAGAAGATTAACCAAAATACGATGGAGACATGGATGCTCTTACAAACAGCGTCCAGATCTGGAAGCTCTTTCAAACAGCGTCCATCTTCCTGGTGCAGCCAGACCCTCAAGACGCTACCGATACGCTAAGAGAAGTATCGAAACAAAAGTTGTTCGACCTAGCTAGGGTTAGGGATCGCCGGCATCGTCGTATGCGCCTGTTCGCCTTCGATCCGTACGCTTCACCCTGCAAACCACGCCGTACTGTCGTTGTCGACGCCGGCGCCTTGGATTTGTTCATTACTCAGCGCCATCAATCCAGCCACGGCGTCTTCAGCGGCAAGTTCGTTGGCTGCTCGCCGGCCGGCAATAGGTGAACTGCAAGACATGCATGCATTATGTCTTTCACATTGATCTGCATATGTACGTCTTTCTGTGGGAGCTAGGCAACAGGTGCCCATGCATACGTTTAGCTAATTAGCATTGATCAGCTGCTGCCTGCTGTATACATTGTGTTCATACGTACTTTATATATATTGACATGTTTGTGTAGTTGGATCGGTAGTGCATGTTCTTAAATTATAAGCTATTCGTTGATATTTTTAATAAGCAAATCAACATTTTTTTAAAAAAATCTGAAGGATATATGAATAGATTATTATTTAACTAGTAGTTATATAACTTGCTTTGTTAAATTAAATTAGGAGATATATGTACAGATTATTATCTAACTACTAATTATTTAACTTGATTTGTTAAATTATTGAGTTTGTTTTGCACAGATGGCTGAGAGAAAAATAATTATTGTTCTAGTATATATCGATGGTAGAATACAACATGGAGATAAGGGTGTGGAATATAACATTCCTCCAAAAATAACTTTTCCGGCACTTGAGGCTACAACCTTTGAAGAAGTCAGAAATGAAATTTTTCAAGCCCTTGGGTACACTGAGGATCATTGTGCAATGAGTATCCAAGCTCGGTTTGATATCGGAAATCCTGGACCACAATATTTTCAACTCATTCCTATTTATGAAGACAGGGGATGAAAGATGATATTCGAGAAGACGTGTGGGCAAGTTGTTGAGCTTTATGTCAATTGCACATCTGCGGAAGCAAGATTAAGTCAAGTTAATAGTATGCCCTTGGTTGAATCAAGCAGGCATTCGGTAAGGGATGGCTCAGGTGTTTCTTTGGAGCCGGGTCATTCGGAAAGGGATGGCTCAGGTGTTTCTTTGGAGCCAGATACCATTCATTCTGCAGGACATGTCGTATCCACTTTAACCCATGACCTGCATTCAACAGCATTGCCGTTGTCTCCACAAACCAACCAAGGTAACATGGAATACGAAACAACGACAACTATAGGTGATGCCAATATTGCTGAAGACACATATGTAGGTGAGGAGACAGATCTTGCAGAGAATGGACAAGATAGTGGTAACGAGCATGATTCTGATGATGCCCTTAACAATAGTTCAGATGATGATATTTCAGAACCACGTGTTACTCATTCTGTCAATGCCTTTCCTTTGATGCGTGCATCTGGACAAGATGCTATAAAAGCATTCAGTGATATATCTGTACTAAGGAAGACAACAGCAGATGAGAATTTCTTTGGATGCAAGAATCAATTTGACAATCCACTAGCAGAAGCAAAGACTTTTGATTCAAAAGAGCATCTACAGATTGCCATAGGTGAGTTTCATATCAATAAAAATTCAGAAATTAAATATAGCACAAGTAGTCAGTCTAAGCTTATAGCTCAGTGCACGGATACTAGTTGCATGTGGAGGCTGTATGCAACACCGATAGGAATAGGCTCATGTTGGATGATAAGGAAATGTCCGTATGCTCACACTTGTAGAGCACCGGCTGATAGATTTGATCATGCTCAGTTATCGTCTGCTATGATTGCTAATGTGATACGTGATGCATTAAGGGATGACTTGGAATTAAGTATAAAAAATGTGAGATCACTAGTCCAGCAGAGATATAGAAATGTGAAGCCATCTTACAGTAAGTTATGGTGTGGTAGAGAGAAAGCAATAGCACAACTTTTTGGTAGCTGGGAAGGTTCATATGGTCTGCTTATCCCTTTCTTAGAGGCTATAAAATCTAAAAACCCTGGTACAAAGTATGTTCTTTTGTCGAATCCAACGACTCAGGAAGGGCAGCGATCATTTAAAAGTGTGGCTTGGGCATTTGGACCATGCATTAATGCCATTCCATACTTACGGCCAGTAATAAGTGTTGATGCATGCTTTTTGTCAGGGAGATACAAGGGTAGATTGTTGATTGCTTGTGGATATGATGCTAACAATCAGCTACTACCTCTTGCATTTGCTATTGTAGAGAAGGAAGATAGTACAAACTGGGGGTGGTTTATGAGATGGCTACGGAAGGAGGTAATAGGATATGGAAAGTTTATGTGTGTTATATCTGACCGACATAAAGCCATCAAATGGTTGTTTAAGCAACCTCACATTGGATGGAATGAGGGTGCCGGTGAATGCGTGCACCGTCTTTGCTCACAGCATGTAGCTGAGAATCTATGGAAAGCTTGTCGTAATGACATGGTGCTCAAGACATTTAAGTGGGCAGTGAAGAAAAAGAAACCCCGAAAATTTGAAGAAGGAATGTCATCGATTGCAAATATTTGTCCTGAGGCAATAACATATCTTGAAAAAGTTGGGAAGTATTTGCAAGAAGATAAAGATGAGCAAGAAAAGCCTGAGAAGGTATTTCAATGTAAGGATGGGGGATATCGTTGGGGAATCATGACAAGCAATGGATCCGAGTCCTTGAACAACGTTTTTAAGTTTTCTCGAAGGTTACCAGTGGCAGCCATTGTGGAGGAAACATTTTCAAAGTGCTTAGAATGGTTTGTTGAACGAAGACGGATCGCTCTCAACTTAGTGCACAGTGGTAAGCTTTGGTCTCAACGGGTTGAAAAGTTATTGGTTAAGCGAGGAGACAAGGCTAGACGTATGAGTGTAATCTCATATGGAGAAGAAGTTGGAATATACGAGGTGAAGGTTGACAACGAATTAGTCCCAATGCAACAAGGAAACCATGTGTTTTACACACGCAGAGACTTCAAGTACAAGGTAGTTTTGCAACCCAACATCCCACCATCCTGTGATTGTTTGAAGCCAAATCTAACCGGTGTTCCATGTGCTCATGTATTGGCGGTTTGCAAGCACAGAAATCTTAGTGAAAATGAATTGATCGTTCCGTTCTACTCTTCTCAATCACTTGCGAACACCTGGGTGGGGCAATTTCATCCTTATGGAAACCAAACTGAATGGCCACCTTTTACTGGTCCAATAATTGTTCCTGATCGTAGACTGATAAATCTTGGCCGTCGTCAGCATAACAGGATTCCAATGTACATGGATGAAATGCAAGGAAGGAGACTTAGACACCAGGCACGCCGTTCCACAAGAGATAGCGACCATAGTGAATTAGGTAGAAACCAATTTGAGTAACTTATAAAATGGTGATTTAATTTCTATGTCATATAATTCTCTGATTTTTTTTTTGTAGGCGCAATGTCGAGCGGAACGCAGGGTAATGGAACCATCGGCAGCCTATAGTGTGCTGGATCATAGATTTATTGTTGTGATCAATACGTACTGTTGGATCATGGATTTAAATTGTTCTGTTAAAGATGAACTAGTTCTTACCACAGTTATGTGGGGTAGGGAATTTATGTAAACTACACCACTTGGCTCCAAATATAGGGCAATCATCTGGTTGTTCTTCTTCTTGCTCCCCCACTTCATCCGTCTTTGCAATTATATTTTTTGGCCGACCTAATAGCAAGCGTGACCATGACCACAACTGTAATAGTACTAGAGGACCAAAAATTTCAGATCTTGCTTTCTCAGCACCAATGCTCAATTGCCTATACAACATAGCAAGTGCAGCTGCTCCCCAATTGTATTCAGTTTGCACTGCTAAATTATCCATAAATTGGAGGTACATAGCCGGAACACTATCTCCAGATGCGTCAGTAAAAATAATGGAGCCAAGAATTTCTAAGATAATTGCTCGACTATGCCAATCAATCTCCCGTTGTGTTGGGTTATTGGGCATGACATGAAAGTGATCACGCAATTTACTCAGATTTATGGAGTATCGTGAATAGGTCAGTGCAAATGTATCATCTTCTTTTTTCCTCTTTTTTTTCTTCATTTCTTGATGTTCTGGTGGAATCCCAAGATACCTCTCAATCATATCACCCCAATTTCCATCAGACTGGCCCACAATTGGTTTTCCCTGAATCGACAAACCCCATAGGCAACTAATATTTTGCAGAGTAATTGTCATCTCCCCTATCGGTAGGTGAAAGCTATTTGTCTCAGGCCGCCAACGTTCGACCAATGCTGATATTAAATATTTGTCAATTTTAATGGTCTTCATCTTTGAAATTTGATAGAAACCAAAATTTTCTAGAGCTGACCGACATAATGGGTGGTAAGGAATTCCAATGCGATGGTGCCGTATATTCATTGAACCACTAGGCTATATCAAAGAGAAAAACAATTACTCATGGGCAACCTAGATGAAGATATGAGCACCAAACAAAATGGCAAGAAACCAAAATAATAAATAAACAACTCACATTTTCTGAAATTTTAGATACTTTGTGTTGGCCATGAGGCATCCATAGTAAATCACTGAACCGACCATCGTCAGCCATTTTCAAGCTACAGACAATGTTAGTAACCAAGAACCTAAATCAGTATTTCGATGCTACAGTACTTTAAAAAAGTAATTAGCAGTTCAGTAGTTCGCAAGAATTCAGGATGAAACTATCCTATTTGATTCCATTCTCCACGTGATGTAATTATTCATCCATATATTGCATTCCAAAATGTGTTATATGCAAAAACAAAATTAATCAATTGTTGGGAGTCAGTTATGCCTATCAAAATCACCTGATTAGGAGTTCTGGGTGAAGTTCTGGCCGTGGAGGTCCACGATGGCTGCAATCTCTAAGGAAGAAGGAAGACGACAACAACGAGACAGGAGTCGAGGCAGATAGCAGCAGCAGCCTCCGGGGAAGACAGCAACCTTCGGCCTCCCAAATTGGAAGCCGCCAATGGCAGCGTCCTCCAGAATCGATGCGGGCGGTCGTGAGGGCCTCCCGGGGGTGGGCGTCTGCTACAGCCTCTCGATGTTGAGGCAAACGGCGGAGATGGTCTACCTGTGTCAGGTTGGAAGGAGGCGATGACCTCCCGGGGTCGATCTGGACGGCGTCGGCGGCAGCGGCGACGGCCTCCAGGATCAATGTGGGCGGCGGCGGCGCCCTACCCTAGCGCCGCCGTAATTTTTCTCCCTTTTTTCTGTCGCTCGGTTCGATATGTTTGAAGTGGCTGCACCGGTCTGGACGGTGTTTGGATTAGCGTCCATCTGCGGACGCTGTTTATAGGAGCGTCCATATGTGGACGCTGTTTAGAATAGCGTTCTTCGTATTTTGGTTAATCCTCCCACAGAATTACTAATTATTTAATTTAAATATTATTAATTATTATAAATAAAAAATTCGGTCAAATTGGAAAGGAATAAAATTGCAGAAATATAACTCTAGGTCCCTAAGTCTCACATCTGGAGCTTCTGAAAAATTCAAACCACAAAACTAGGTGATCTGGCAATAGAGTCATAGAAATACAACCCTAAATCTGGAGCTGCAGCAAACCTCAAACCAAAAAAAAACTAGGGGATCTAACTAGTTGCTTCAGATCAGATGGGGTGGAGAGCAGGAGAAATTTGATCTTGCCTTATTACACAATTTGTACACAGCGATTTGAGAAATTTCACTGGAAAAATTGCTTGAATAATCGAAGAGTAGGGAGTGGAGGTTACCTCTCAGCCGGTAGTGCTTGGTGGAAGGAGGTCGACGTCTAGGTGGAGGCGAACGGAGGTTGTCACGAGTGGGCGCTACCAGTGTGGAGGTGGTCGCGCGTCGCCGCCGCCAGCGATGGCGATTGGAGGGTGAGGTAGGTCCAGACGGAGGTGACTGGAGGGCGGGGCTTGTCGAGGCGGAGCTGAGGGCGACGCGTTCCCTCCACCGGTGATGGCGAGTGGAGGCGGAGGTGGAGGTGGAGGTGGAGGCGGAGGCGGAGGCGGCGGTGTCGCCGCTTCTGGGGATGGCTTGTGGATGTGGAGGCGTGGCCGCGTGGGGATCCAATCCTGATGAAGCGTGGACTTCGAAAAATCAGTGGCGTGGGGATCCAATCTGATCCTAGCTTCCCGTTATGGGCCAAAAGCCCATAAATGCTGAGGTTAAAAAAAATGCCCGACTTTTTTCGAAATGGCTCACTCCCGGGCGTCCGATCGCGCGTTGTCCAGATCGAGCGCTGCGCTCGCCGTGCGATCGAGCCAAGCGGATCGGACGGCTCTCACACATGCGTCCCCCGCGCCCGAGAATGCTAGTTGTCAGGCGTCCGATGGGAGGAGAGAAAAATCAGAAGCTGCATGGTCTGCCATTTGCATGCAAAGAATCTTTCCCTACATGCTTTCATCTCTCATTTCTTTAAAAGATTTTTTCTCATAAACTATTTATCTAATCTACGATCTGATTGCATCACTAAATTCGTTACAATTAAATATTTACTACAAAACCACACATGATTATATTTTGACAAAAAAATATTTTAGTTTTTTATTGATATTTTTTAATATTGTATATGGTCTCTTTTGATGTTTCAACCAGTAGTTTTACAATGTTTCAGTTAGTTTACTCATGATGTTTCACTATGTACGGATCAAATGTTGCAGTGGATTTTGATATTATGGAACGCGCCGTTACAACAAAAAAACCCACGTATTTTGGAAACCCCCTATTAACGGAATTCGTTTTATTTTTTGTTCCACCAAAAATGTTTCACCTAGTGTACTCACACTGCTTCACTATTTATAGATCTAATGTTGCAGTGATTTGAGATACTCCATTGCAACAAAAAAAAAACCCACATATTTTGGAAACCCTCTATTAAGGGAATTCGTTTTATTTTTTGTTTCATCGAAAAATATTTCATCTAATATACTCGCAATGTTTCACTATGTATGGATCAAATGTTGCAGTTAACTGAAACATTCTTTCGCTATTTGCTGAAACATTGTTTTTATATAAGGTGAAACAACATCCGATTTAAACGAGTGAAACATTTTCGATCTACTTAGTGAAACAAATCCGATATACCTGGTGTAACATCGTGCAACATTTAAAAAAAATCAATAATAAGCTAAAAAAATTTCGTCGGAATATATCCATGTGTGGTCTTGTTTTGAAGATTTAATTGCAACGAATTTAATGGTGTAATCGGATTATGATTTGGATAAATAATTTAAGAGAAAAATTAGTTTGAATTTGTTTTGCACGTAAATCGGGCGCTGATGTCAGCGCCCGATTTTTGAAGATTTGGATCGTGCGACCGATCCCTAGTCATCCCCAACTTTTTTCCTGAAATTTCCAAGCTAAGTAACGGAAGTCTACTAGTACGAAACGCAATCAAAATTTCTGTAAAATAATCCGGCCGCTGATATCCCGTTTTGACAAGTAATGGAACAACCTATATTGTTGGAGATTAGATGAAAAACTGTAGGGGACTATAAAATGGCCGACGGTTTTCTTATATGGTCTGTGATTAGTAACACTGTCAGTAACTTAATAATCACCAACGGTGCTTTTAAAACCGTAGGCTATTACCTATCACCGTCGTTAAGATTTTTCCTCTTTTTCCAGTGTAAAATAAAGAACCCAATAACCACTTATTGGTACCAATTTCTAACAAAAATAGAATTGCAACTAATGGAATAGATAGAGAGTTGATCGGACATAGGAGGGACATCAATTAAAGATGTTATTCTGGATAAACCTCATCATTTGAGTATTTCCGGATACTAGAATAAACTTTTGGCAAAGATTTAATTTAGAAGGAAAATTGAACTATTAAATTTGATCTCATGAAAGATTTAATTTAGAGAGAAAGTGTTAGTGCACGATTTAGAGTTCATGAGGATTGATTTAATCAAGATCTTTGGCAAAAAAAAAAAACTAAACAAACTCAAAGAACAAAAAGTATTATTTGGTAGGTTGCGCTAGACCCTTTATGGCGCAAAACCAGACTTTCATTTAAATTAGCAAATTAAGCCTGGAAAGAGATGGTGTTAACAGAAAATATTTAATTCATAATTCATTAAAGAGGTTTTAATTCATTAAAGAGATTTTAGGAAAATAATTAGTATTCGCTTTTGGTTTGCAAATATTTTCTTAAATGCAATCATTTATTTATTATGGTTCTTTAATAAATTTTATTTTCAATCCACAATAGAATTTAGAAATTGAATTAAATTTCCACTTTTCATTATTTTGGCATTGGCACAATAGGAAAAAGGAAAAGAAAATCCAAAAAAAATTGATTATTTTTACTGGGCCCTACATAAATTTTGGTCTTTTTGGCATGCCTTCGATATAAGAAGAGTGCCACTCTGTTTCCTTTCCGATCTCATTGTTCCCTTGGGCATCTTCTTTCTTCTTCAACTCGTGCTAAAAATACTTACACTACGTCGTGACGGTATATATTTCGATATGTGGTAGATGCACAGAAGACCAGTATATTGCTGGATTCAATGGAATGAGTGGTATTGGGAAAACGAACGTGACATCATGAAAAGTTCTTGTTTCGTATCATCGAATGATGAACAAATTTTCAGCAGAAGAATGAACTAAAGACCAGAATTGCACTGTCACTTTGGAGATATGTACTACGTATTTACTCGTCAGCTGCGGACTAGATGGACCACACAACGGCATGAGTCAACACTACTATTATTTAAAAATTTATGATTTTTTTTAAAAAAATAAGTCAACACTATTCATGATCTATCATCTAAAAACAATAAAAATATTAATTATAAGAAAATTTCAAATAAGACGGATGGTTAAATGTTGGACACGAAAACCCGCAACTACAATTGAAATAGGATGAGTAGAACTTTAGACTCTGCTACGTACATCTAACATTTACTTTGGCACGCCATCTTAAGGCCTTGTTTAGTTTCCCAAATTTTTTTTCCAAAAGCATCACATCGAATCTTTGGACACATGCATGAAACATTAAATATAGATAAAAATAAAAACTAACTGCACAGTTAGGGGGGAAATCGCGAGATGAATCTTTTGAGCCTAATTAGTCTATGATTAGCTATAAGTGCTATAGTAACCTACATGTGCTAATGACGGATTAATTAGGCTAAAAAAAATTCGTCTCGTGGTTTCCAGGCGAGTTATGAAATTAATTTTTTTCATTTGTCTCCGAAAACCCATTCAGACATCCAGTCAAACATCTGATATGACACCTAAAAATTTTCTTTTTACGAACTAAAGAAGGCCTAAGTCATACACCACGAAGCTACGACTCCACCAACCTCACTAGCAGTGTTCATCTACTATCACTACAAGGTTTTCGGGCTAATGCCCACAAAATTTTGGACAATGACGTGATTTTCGTTGCAATACATAGGGGTTATTGCTACCAAAGTCTAATTTGGTTACGATAGGAGGGCATATTACCACTAATTGCAGAGCGTTGCGATTGTAATTTTTTTTTTTGCAATAAGTAAGAAGTATCGCAACGAATTAATTTGCGTTGTAATTAGGGTAACGATATTGCCGCGCTTTTTGTTATCGTTGCAATAGTTATCCATGTCGCAACGAATTGAGAGCGTTGTTATTAGAGTCATGTATATAGCAACACAAAACTACTTTGTTGCAAATGAGTCTATAGGTATTGCAACGCAAACCTGAATCGTTGCAAATGAGTCTTTAGGTATTGCAACGCAAACCAGAATCGTAGCAATGATTCTTAGATATTGCAACAAACACCAGAAATCATTGCAACTAACAAGGTTCTATCGCAACAATATTTCGTCATTGCTATAATTTAACGATTCGTTGCAATAGATGAGATTGGCGATGCCACCTGCAGGTTGTTCATGGGCTTTTGTATTGTTAAACTTTCACTTTCCATCATTATGGCCTGGGTCAGAGTCAGCACATAAATAATTAATTTGGCCCAACTAGCTGAGCTGTACATGAACTAAATTCGTGTAAAAAAAATGGTATGAGTAAACCCTACCCTGATCGATAAAAAGTAACTGAATTAGTCTTTCATCTTCAAAGAACTGTACATTCCCCTCATAGCATTTTTAACCTTCACCATTCACTAGCTTATATAGTCGCACATTCGTGTCACTATAACCTTCCTCTCTACTGAATGTTTTTACATGTCATTTGTACTAATTAGCTTTGACGTTTTTCTTAAATATTGAAATGACATATTACTATAAATATACATGATCAAAATCATGGTAAATTATAGTGAGTCTATGACTACGCTCTCTAGCACAGACATGGATTTGCGATTTATAAATATAAGTTGAGTGTTCATCTATTTAAATCAGTGTTCTAAAAATCGGCCCTAGGCGCCGCCTAGGCGCCCATTAGGCGCTAGGCGCCGGGTAGCCGCCGCGATTAGGCATTCAATGGTGCATTAGGCGGTTAAATTACTTAGGTAGTGTTTTATTGCTATTTTAGTGTTATATAGTCTAATTTCTATGCAATATGCCTACTAATTTCTTGAATTTAACTATTTGACCCGACCTAGGCGCCCGCTAGGCGCCGCCTAGGCGGGGCCTAGGCGCCAATTAGGCGCTAGGCGCCCCCTATCCGCCCAACTAGCGCCTAGCGCCTTCTTGAACCATGATTTAAATAGATACATGTATGCAATTGTCATAAACATATAATGAATCAAAAAATATTCAAACATGATAATAGTAAGTAGAAGTAAGCGTTTTACATTTTCACCACAGTAAATGGACATGTAATTGTTAGGTGTTTCAATAGTCATGATTGAGGTAATATCTTGATGACAAAAAGGAGGCAATGTGTTTGAAATGGAGCCTACCAAAAAAAAACGCATGATTTGCTATTTCTAACATTTTTTTTCAATGTCAATGTCCAACCAGACTTGAAACTGGAAACAAAAAACAGAATAGGAAAACAGAAAGGGAAAACCAATATCTGAATTAATCCTGAATTGGTGGCAAAACTCAATGATGCGCAGTCGACTCGCTACTTCCCTGCTTCTTGCAGGTGATTCCCCACATAACACATAAGCTCACACATTAGCCAATCTTTAGTCAATTGTTCAGTTGCACTCATATATTTGTCAGATAATGGCTAAAGATCATGCATGTTTCTGCAAGGATTTAGTACCTCCTCTGAGTCATCTTGCATTCATGTATAGATTAATTATCCTGAAACCTTGGAGAAGTAAAGAGACAATAGGATGCGATGTCAATCAGAAGAACAAAAATGCAGCAAACTCATGATGACCAATTGAAGAACGTTCTTACCATGAAAAGTGTAATAAAGCAATTGCTCATACATCAGAATTTCTGAAGTCATAGTAAGGATACTTCCCTCGAGTAGAACACTCAGAGTTCCACCTTGAGATATGTCCACACCAAAGTTTTTTTTTTTTTTTTGTGTGTGTGTGTGTGGAAAAAGGGACAAAATCCAACATCAAACTCAAAGCTCTGGCTGTAATCATCATCATTCAGGTGAAAGCTAGGCAAGGTTGTTTGTCGGCATAGTTACTTAATGGTGTAGTTCTGAGTTCCGCATTTCAATTTAATTATGTGAGTACACTTAATGGCTGGCAAATATTGTAGTTTGAAAAGGTTTAGTAAGATACATGAACACTACAGCTGGTAGGGTATTCTGTCAACAGAAACATCATGGAAGTATTAGTTAGTTGCATTCCATAATATGGAACTGCAAGTGCAAGGAATCAATAAGATGATCAATACTGATTTTTGACTAATTGATACTCTGCAAAAGAAAATCTGAAACACGAACATGATTTCCTTTTTGGATTTCAGCCACCATCCAGTTGTGTCAAATAGATCAGGTAGAAACATTGGGCATTAATTTGGAGTATTTAAAATTACTGAACATTCAGTTTTTGTTCACAGGAATCAAGTTCTAATTTGTTCTACAGTGTATAATCTGTTCTAAATCTTCCATCGCACTGGTAAAAAATATCAGCGAAGTGTTTTTGTTTTTGTTGATGTTTTCAGGTCCATTGAAAAGAAACAAAATAAATTCAGTAGAACGCCTAATTTACATGACTTGCATTGAGAAGCTCAATACCTTGCTGAATTAAACTGAAGAAAAACTATGCAATTTTTATATAAAATTGTATCCAATGAGTATGTTCTTTCTTGCATCTTAAAACGTCTTAGGCTTAGAAACTTTTTTTATTTCCAATCATTATTAGGTTAATAGTGGGAGCAATAAGGGAATATAAAAGATGAATGATATGTTCTTAGTGCTTCCACTATGTGATGCTTATCTTGAAGGAGACCATGGGCTGGTAGCAGAATGATGAAAGTTGTGCTATGAGGCAGATGGATGATCCAGAATGTCCTGTCAACTACTACATGCGACAATATGAAATCTCTTTCGCTAGAGCAAGCAACACATAACATCTAATTTGAGAATGTACAATTTACATATCTGCATACATTCAATATATCTTCTTGAAACTATTCCTGAAACTGAACCACAATTCAATTCTGTTTGTCTAGGTACCCAGTAGGAAATAATAATGCTTAGAAATATCAGTTATGAAGTAAAAGTGATTGTCTTTTCTGCCCTGTAAAGTTCTTCTTCCCTTTTACTTTATCCCTATCCTGCTTCTACCAATGATCTAAGGATCATACCTATTGCACTCACTGAACTCAAAATATATATCATACTTACAGTCTTTGTAGATTTGGAAGGCCAGAGAAACTTCCAGGAATGGATCCGTCTGCAAAAATTCTATAAGCATGCATATAAACTAAAAATGCAAGTCTGTGCAATCAGAATGATCAAAAAAGATAGCTTGGTCGCCAAATGCTTAGCAAATTTAAATAAACAAAAAATAGCACAAGTTGTTAGTAAAGGATCTATTATTATACATCGTGCTTATGTTGCTTGCTGGTCGGCCAGATGGTATTCGACCCCTCAACTGATTCCAACTAAGATCTCTGAACATAAATAAGGCAAGGATCAGGGATGCCACACACAGATTTGTTTCTGCTAACTACGGAAATAGAATTTTCTGTTCCTGAGAAAGTGAGGTTGCAGTCATTGAATTTTGACACATACAAATAGCCAAGTTGGGCTATTCCACTGACATCAGGGACAGGTCCTTCCAAGCTGCAGTTCCTCAAACTCCTGATGAAGACCATATCAAATAGATTTAGCCTCTAAGTTTCATAATTACCGAGTGTAGAAGTCTGAGTTAAACCTATATTCTTGATATAGAACTTCACCACTTGATTTGCAAGACATTCGAAAGGCAACCCTTCTAAAATTCATTTCAGCCCTACACTAAGAGGTGGAATTGCAGACAGTAGTAAGAAATACTTACAATTTCAAAACTATGGTGATATTGCCATAAGATGAAGGAATTGAGGTTCCTGAGAAATTATTGTTGTCAAGCTGGCTGAAATTGTTTTGAACAAATATAATTAGAAAGGGCTTTATATGCATGCAATTCTAATATGTGAAATATCAGAGACTACTATTTAAAAGAAAGTGAAGGAAATTAATTGAGTTACTCAGTTTCTATTTAAAAGAAAGTTAAGAAAATAAATTGAGTTACTCAGTTTCTATGGATAGTTCAATTAAACACATGATACCTTTCTTTCAGTTAGTTCTGAATTACCCTATATATAATAGCACACAATTTCAACAGCAAATTAATTTGAGGTATGGATCAATAGCTTCAAGTGGTTTACTATAAAAAAACAAATTACACCCTAGAAATCACGGTAAATAACCATATTTAGACCTAAAATACTATTTGCGCAACGGCACGTAGAGAAGCTAGTTCTTCGTATTATGATTAAATAGATCACAATGGTCAAGAGACACAACAACAGCTTCTTTTCAGTGAATGAGAGCTAAAGGCTCTTTGAACCGGTGATGGTCCCATGGCTCCAAACAATGACAGAAGAGCAATGGATTGTTTAATTTTTTTAATGAAGAAAATTGAGTTACTTATTTATGGCACAATATTATAATGCATTTCCGATTGAACAGGTTGCAGTACTGAACATTTATGCTAGTTGTTCTTCATATTGTAGATGAGAATTACAGTTACTGATCCACCATATAATAACTGAACATGAACTACCCTGTAACCACCGTAACAACCCGAAATAATTATATTTTTTTTGGAATTGTGATAAAAAAAATATAAAACAAATAGAACATCTGGATTTTCTTTTCCCAATTGGAAGAGCACCTGTGATCATCTTTACATTTACACCAAGGTTAAGTGCCATTCGAATTGTTTATGCACTTTCATGCCTTGGAGGATCAAAGAGTGGCATGCAGGAAAGCAACAAAGTGCCAAGCTCCACCAGGACTCTCTTTCCTTCCATCTGGCACTTCCTAGTTCCTACATGACAGGAAAAGGAGACTACAGTAAAAACACGAATTATAGGGAGCTCATGAATATATGAAAGCTTAAAGAATAAAAACAGGAAAGATCCCAGTAAAAGCAATAACAGCACATAAAGACTTAACAGTGAATACCAATTATGTTTAGCTTTCAGACCAAAGTATTTCCTTATCATTCAAGGTCAGACAGAAGAATATTTGATCAGAGTCTAGACGCATTCATGACTTGATTAGTGTTATTACATGAAATTATTGCTCATAGTTGAGTTGTTCAGATCAATCACAAAAAATAATTCAGTGTTCAGACTTTCCTTTACTTGTTTACACCAGCAGGTTCTGATTTCTGAATAACTTAATTTGCTAGAATGGAATTGTCTAGACAATTTTTTTTACTTTCTGTACCACGTAAATACTGCTTTCTGATTTCAACATATAACATAATAATCTGGCAGTGGAAAATTGACCTTAAACATTGGGGCAAGTTCTCTGCAGCAGAAGTTGCCTCCATAGCCTCGACAACAGCCATTTGTGATGCATTACTGTACTTCATAAGCTCCTGTGAAAATGCGAATGCAATTAAAGATTCAACACGAGTTCATCCTTGAAGCATCTTTGAAAGTATGACTAAAATGGTATAGTAAAATGGTGTGATGCTCAGGGGGCCTGGTACCCCCATTTAAGTTTTGTTCATAGTTTCCTCTGCATATATTTCAAAAGACAAAAAAGAAATTAGCATCCTCAAAATTGCAAAAGATTTGCATTGATAACCTCATATCAACAACACCGCGTGATCCAGAGTGGAGGTCGACGAAGATGAGGAGTTCGTGCGTCTGCTGGATGACGCTGGCCAGCATACCTGGCTTGGACTTGAAGAGGGCCTTCATCTTGGCGATGTGTCCACTGCTGCTAGCATGGCGGATGTTGCTAGCGCTGCTGCAACCTACAGGACAGGGAGAAGAAGGGGGAAGGGGTCCACCGGCGTCGGGGGCTGGGGGGTGGAGAAGAAGGTGGGGGGGCACCGGCCGCCGCTGACCCCGGAGATTGCCGGAGCCCGGGGCAGTTGAGGCCGATGGTGGGGAAGTCAGGAGGGAGATGAGGGGCTGCGTCTGCGCAGGGGACATCGAGCTCCTCCAAGCTGCGCCGCCGAGCTCCATGCCTGCCGATCTGCGCGAGGTGGGGAGGAGCGGCGAACTCGAGGATGGATCTGGCGCCGCCACCAAGCTACCCGCCGTGGTCGCCGCTGTCGAGCTCCGCGAGCTCCTCCATGCTGCCCCACTCCCCCCGATCTGCGCGAGGCGGGAGGGTGGCGAGTTCACATTGAGGAGAGATTAGGCGCGCCATGAGAGAGATTTCGCGCGCCAAACAATGAAAATTTGGCGCAGAGGTAATTTGCCGCCAGGAGCTGGATTTGGCGCCACTGATATAGGGGCTGTTTGGGAGAGCTCCTCTCCAGAAAAATGAGCTCCTCTCCAGGAAATCTTCTCTGCAGTGGAGCTCCTGGAGCTGGCACCTGTTTGGGTAATGATACATATGGTCCAGCTCCAGATTTGGTAGGAGGAGGAGTGAAAGGACTGTTTTGCCCATGGATCTTGTATGGATATTGATTACTAGCCTCTCCGTTTCACAATATAAGTCATTCTAACATTTCCCATATTCATATTGATGTTAATGAATCTAGACATATATATTTATCTAGATTCATTAACATCCATATGAATGTGAGAAATGCTAGAATGGCTTACATTGTGAAACGGAGGAAGTAATATATAGTGATGTTTAATATTTCTCACAGCCATAACAATAATAAAAAATATTACAAAATAGACTTGTTGCAAGACGATGCAAGTAGCTATTTCAAGAACAGTACAAAATTAGCTCGAGTAGCTAATTTTTTTATAATTAAAAATTAAAAAAAATATATAAAATAGACTTTTTTCAAGACGATGCAAGCACCTATTTCAATCCTGCTGCGAGAGGTAAGGTTGCAGCAAAACGCCAAAACGGCCACGATCCAGCTACACAGTAGACTGGAGAGCTCACAGTCGCAGTGCAAAGCAACACGCATGGCAATGCTGCTACGGTACTAGGGAATTGCACCTCCGAGTAGCTAATTTTTTTATCGTAATATTTATTTTACCTCTTAATGGAACACATGCAAATCTGCCACAATTGAGAAACGAGTTGGGAGCAAAATCCGCACAAGGTACCACATTTTAATCAAAGGTTCATAATTGAAGTCCAACAAAGATACATTATCATCTTATGTCTTACAAATCTAGCGCCAAGAAATTGAAAAAGCGGTGGCTAGTTCTTATCCCACTTATTCCTGAGCTGTCGCTTACTCAACTCAATTCCAGTTATTTGGCGAAACAACTGGATCACTTCGTCATAGCCTACGGAGTTCAAATGGGTATTTGGCCTATTTCCTTTCACCACTTGTTGGGCAAACAATTGACAAACAATGGTAGTATGCTCATCAGTCCATTCCATTAAATCACCCTGTCCAGTCAAATTAGAGATTTTATAGTTTTCAAGATGCAAATAAATAGACGATTTTAGCTTTCTGAAATAAAAAATATATCACATAACAGAAGGTAATACTTCATCCACATGCTTATGGTTTTGACTACAACCCAAATTAGCTAGCTTCTTCATATCATACACGAAGCACATGAGGTTATACCATTGGATGTCATCCAAATATCAGACAAGTAATTACCTAGTTCGTCGCTCCAGTACGCGGGGGACGAGCTTGCTGCTGGGCAGCGCCGGTCGGCTGGGACCCGCGCCCCAGTGCGGCGCCGGCGGGTGAGCAGCCGCGCCCCAGGGCGGCTCTGGCGGCAGGGCTGCCATGCCCCAGGGCGGCTCCGGCAGCAGGAGGCGGGCGCAGGGCGGCTCCGGCAGCGGGAGACGGGCAACCGCGCCCCTGGCCGCGCCACTGGCCGGCAGCAGGAGGCGGGCAGCCGCGCCCCTGGCCGGCTGCGGGAGGCGGGAATCCGCGCCCATGGCCATGCTCCAGTCCGGCGCCCATGGTCATCTCGGCGGCCGAGACTTCCTCCTCTAGGCCGGATCCATCTTGGACAGAGGCGGATCCGGCCATCTCGTCGGCGGCGGCGCGTGGTGAAGCCGGCAGCGGCGGCGCTAGGGTTGGCGGCGGCGGCGATGTGCCTGTGGACTCGGGCGGCGCTCTGGTGGAATCGTTTTTTTCACGAATGAGGAACGGGAATGGGGCGGTACTGTGGAATAGAAGCGAATCGTTTTTTTTTAACCAATGGCAATGGTGGGTAATTTTTTACCATCTCCATGTGACTCCAGGTTTTGGTGGAATACCCCTTGAGGAGCTCCAGAAAATTCCTGGAGATGGAGCTGCAATTCAAGAGCCGGAGCTACTCCACTACTCGTGTTTGGTAAAAAAAAAACTTGGAGATGGAGCTATTTTCTTGGAGAGGAGTCCTGCCAAACAGCCCCATAGAGGGGATTGAGTGAATTGCTTTTACGATGGAGTATAATGGTGTGCTTGCTGCCATATTCTCCACCGTCCGATCTTCACCTAAGATTTTCAATTCTCTATTTATGTACTCAGCCACAAATTTCAAAAAGCGCCTCTAATAACATTTGATTGTTTGGATTATGCACGAACACAACGACACACAACAAAGGCTGCAGGTTGCAATTATTGAATGTTATTTATTTTTTTTACCATGACTATGTTTTTCTATTATTGCCACGGAGTACACCGAAATAGACGAATTTCGGAAAAAACAGATGAAATTTGATCAAATTTCAACCAAGTTTGATAAATTTTGGCAAAACTGAACCATATTTAGGCGAAATACGAGTGAATTGGTTAGACAGATATGGGCTTATCAAGTGGTACTAAAATAGGGTAAAATTCAGTTTACTAGAAAGAAAGGAAGCAAGTGAAGAAAGATGTGATCAAACGTGAATGTTCTTGATTCGCATCTTGCTTTTTGGGCGTGGTTTGAAAGATTGGTTAACTACTTCTTAAACCCAAGGTCTTGGACCTCACTGAAATTCAGTCTTTTTGGACCGAATCCCAACCTTGATTACTACATGTAATTTAACAAATTATTTATTATGGTCTATTACTTATAAATTTCAGAAGTAATAAAAAATGACTAGTGCTTGTTTTCAAATCTCAATTATATTATGTTCATTATTTTTTACTCCTGAAGATGCACTTAAACCCTCTAGTGGGTTTTGGTGATTAATTACAAGGTGGTTAAAGGGGACTAACATGTTTATCAAGTTTATACACAGGAGTTTAGTCCCAAAGTATGTTGTGATGGCTAAAAATGCATGAAGACCCCCCAATTTGAATGTTCCTACATGCGAGATGGACCGAAGGTGGTTAGACTAGGTTTTACACTTTCAAATTTGAGTTTAGGAAAAACCGTACTATTAAGAGGGGTTTCAAGTGTGGTTCTAGGGTATACAAAGTGCTCTTAGTTATATCCATGTGTCAAAAGATTTTTGGAATCATTTTTAAAAAATGATTTTTCTCCCCGGGACAGAGAGTGCTACCCGGAGGTTTTGTCCGGAACTTCCGGGCGCCGTTTCCATCTAGATTTTTCTTGAGTGCTGCCCGGAAGTTCCTGGTACTTTTACTAGGAACCTCCTGGCAGGTTTCCAGTTCAAACTTGTGAGTAACGGCTAGATGACGTCACCTAGCCGTTATATATATGGAATTCATCCCCAGGTCACTCTTTGGCCATTTCACTTCAGTTCTTTCATGTTCTAGGGTTTTCTAGCCTCTCCCCATCTCCCTTTGCTTCCTCCACTCAAATCTAGAGTCTATCTTGAGAGATTGAGAGAATAGATGTGAGTGTAGGAGTGTTTTGGAGATGGCTTGAAGATTAGGTTTGATTGAGCACTTTGGATACCTTGTGGGCTGTCACATGAGCTTATTACTCTTGGAGATCTTCTCCTAGACTGTTAGGTGTCACCCGTGAGCTTGTAAACATCTTGTGGATGTCCCGGGAAAGTTTGTAAAGGTTTTCCTCACCTCCATAAGGAAACGAGGTAAGTGAGTAAAAATTCTTGTGCTGAGTTTTCAGAGGTTGTACTAGGTAGAGCAACTTGCACTTGTGGTCTTTTCTAGAAGGAATTGTGAGTTGGATCTTGGTGGTCACTCAATTCTAGAAAATGACCTAGAAGTGTTTAGTTGAAGGCTGTGGACCTCTTCTGGGATCTTTGCATAAGTGAGGCAAGGGGTTAATCGAAACCAAGCTCTTTGGAGCACCTCAATGGAGAGTAGGATTCGTGTGATCCGAACTTCGGGAAAAAAAATCTCCTTTGTCTCTCTTGTGCATGTTCTGTGTTGAATTTGCTGATAACCTGTGATCTACATCTTGTGCAACTCTGTGCCTGAATTTCCCTAGCTAGGACTTGTCCTTCTTCTCAGATTTCGTTTATCTCTGTTGCCCAGAAGTTCCTGGCTCAAGAACTCCGGAAGTTCCGGGCTACTCATCAATGCCCGGAAGTTCTAGTGTTCATCACCAGGAGGTTCCGAGCCCTGTCAATTTAACCGCTGCGATTGTTGAGAAAATTTCAGGATAGCCTATTCACCCTCCTATAGGCTACATCTCTGCCCGTTCAACTCCCTCCTACATTTTGATGCCATGAGAGCTAACCTTAACTCTCTCGATAAGTTCCTCAAGTTTAGTGGCATCTAGATGACAACCCTTGTCACTAGTGGCGATGCTCAACGATATGGCTGGTGGATGGGGCCACATCATTAGATTTAGTAGCTACCCATGGTAGTGATGGCGAGCGACTGACGAGGCAAGATGGGTCGACGCCAATGGATAGGGGTTTGTAGCTGAGTGTGGTGGTGCTTGGACGATGCATTCTATGTTGTCAGCAATCGAGCACTCAAGACAAAAGAAATTGTGTCTTGGAATATTTTTATAATCTTCCTTTATGACTCCAAATGCTTAAACAATTTTTACTGGAATTTTCAGATAATTTAAACTAATTTTAGTTGATTAAAAACAGTTAATAGCAATTAAATAAAAAGAAAATAGTTTTTCTCCTCTCCCCCCCAGAATGGGCCATTTCATGGGCCAGCCCAGTCGGAGCAGGATGAGTCGCTGCAGCCGCTGGCACATGGGGCCCGCAATGTGGATTAAGATGAAGAACACATGTATGGCTCATTATTCTCTTTTTAATCTGGATTTAGAATTTGTAATTGGTATTTCTCTCTCATGATAACTCCAAATTTGATGGTTCCTTTTTCTGATTTTTTCTAAAATCATGATATTTCATGTAGTTGCAACGTTTTTTTGTTAATTAGTGTTCATTGGATATTTTTAATATGGTTTGTTTTCTTCCACCTTAGTAGAGAATAGAAAAACATGTCTTTGTGTAACAAATGCTAATGTAAGTTCATATTATCTATTATTATGTTGAACATAAGATTATATCCAAATTTGAGGTGCATACGAGGTGGAAAATGTTATGAGGTATTCAAATCTCCAAGTTTGACTTGTGTTATAAGAAACTATGTGAGAAATGTATCCATTTGTGAACAATATATGGTACCACTTTATTAAAACCTTTTGATTTTTTTATGATAAGCTTATGGACCAAAAATAAGTTGTCATGTCAATTTTTAGAATTTTGTGACCAAATTTAGATATTATTGTAATTATTATATGGTAATTTAAAGATAGAAGTTTGTCCTTAGAAGACAATTTAATTTTCATTTATCTCCACGACATGGGTTAGAATGGACCATATGAGCCGAAATATAATTTTTGTGCAATTTTTTTTATACTATTAGATACACACTTAGTTTGCTTTTGAATTAATTTACATAACATTGTATAAATTTATTTAACATATAGAAAATAATAAACCAGTTCCAAAATTCATGAAACTTCTACAAAACAACTTGTATGTTGTTTATCACATATAAAAAATGTATTGGTGTATATAAGATAATTATTTTTGTGTGTTACTTCACAATAGTACAATAAAATAAATAGAAAAAGAAAAACGTTAAACAATGGTACAAGGCCTATTTCGGCCCAAATGGCCCAACTATTTCTGACAGAGATGGGTGTTTTGAAATACAACATAAATCCACTTTTAAACCATTTTCACTCATTATTATAATATTTTATTAATATATTCATATAGAGATATACCGCTTATTTGCTCTATTAATTATTTTAGGTATTAATTTTATTAATTGATGAGCTAAAAATAAGAAAATTATGGGCATCGGCGCCAAAGATTTCGACATTTCAGTATGGCGGGAGCCAAAAGCATATCCTTTAGGCGCATGGGCTCAAAGTATTTTGAGATTAAATTACTTTTCTGTCAACAGAGTTTGTAAAGTTTGCCCTTGCACCCCTATTCATATCATGGGTATTATCGTAAATTCGCCCTACCAGTCGTGGGCCCCTCACGGTTTTCTTTTTCTCCCCTCCCGACTCCCGTCCCGTACGCCTCCCACACCGAGCGCCGTCTCCGCTTCTCCTATACCGAGCGGCCGCAATCCCCCTCCAGATCCAGCCCTCCGCCGGCGCCGTCCATCCATCAGCCTCGCCCTTCTCCTCCGCGCCGTCATTCGCTGTCGAGGCCGCCGCCTTCCCCAATCCTAGACCTATTGGCCCGGATAGGGGATCTCGCCGCCATCGTCGTATCTCGCCGTCGCCGCAACCTACAAGTAAATACCCCCATCCACCATCCTTTCCCATATGTGTTGTCCTTGTATGTTTATAAGTTGGTTGATTTTTCTCATGTTGCACAGGCCACGGAATCTGAAATTATTTGTATACATGTGCATTCTCATGCTGTTGGAGATGCATGTGTGTGGCGGCGGCTGCCTGTGGGTGGCACATGCATGTGGCGTCGTGGTCAGTAGAGCGTCAACCCCCGCGGAGGCTATGAGTGGCGTAGGTGTGCGGCGCGGCGGCGAGTGGAGGCGCAGGTGGCTCAAGGCCAAAAGCGAGTACTATTACTGCATATACATGTTTTGGAGAGCGATATGCGTTTAAAATGCTGCAATGCGAAACTGTGCCACTTTGCCCACGCCTCTTTCCGCACTGAGTCGATGCCGGTAGCACAACCGACGAGGTAAATTTTTTTTTCTTTGCAAACTCCTGTTCTTCCCAACTTCTGGAAGCCTGTTCCTATTCTATTTCAGCGAATAACAATGATATTTCACTAGGATTATACTGCAGGGTTATGCATGTTACTAGCCAATCTTAAATATATCAAACTTTATTGACTGAGCTGAGTGATTAGGTGTCAAGTTGCAGTTTATATATCAAACATCGGATGAGTGAACAAGAAATTCGACAGGTTGATAGATATAAATGGGCAAATGATCGGGAAGATTAAGATTGCATATACACAATGATTTTCACTTCATTTTTGCTTCTATTCTGCAAACCATGGATATGCTCTCTGTTTTGGTAATCGTCCAATAACTAGCAATAACATGCTCTGAATTGTGATGATTGTGAACTAATCCTAGCGACCAACTTGATGATGTTATAGTCAGGATTGTAATTACTGTTTCTAGGGTTCTACATAAATTGGCTTGCTAGGGTTGGATGAATAATGAATGAATGAATGCTGATGCAAGTGCAGTACTGGAACTAGAAAAGCTAATATAAATCATACTAACATAATTAAGTCCTTGTATATGCTTGCATGATGAAATAACTGAATTTGGCACATCAGCAGGATCATATTCTAAAATAAATCATATTGAATGATGCAGTAATTTACATGGTTCTATACTTTGAAAATCATGCCAAGATATGAACTATAGAGAATGGAATTATAACCCCATGAAACCTGACCTTGAATACAGATAATTTACTGCTACTGACTGTATATTGTGACTAAACTATAGAGTTGTTGATGCTGGAAAAAACTAAACTATTGATTAACTAACTATTTTTACAGTAAATGATTTGGTAGAAAAAAACTTATATGTTCTGTTAAGTTATTAAAATTTAGTAGAACTATGACTATTTATCACTATGCATACTTAGATGTACTTAAAATTCATCCTATGGTTTCTTTTCTGAGTTTTGTAGTAAAGAACTAGATACATATACAAACTTAACCCAGATTCATAACCTACTGGTTTCACATGCTATTCTACAATTCAAATGATTAATAATTTAGGATGGTTCCTCTATTAAATCTGGGTTGATTTTCAATATTTTTAAATGAAATTAGATTCATATACACATACCCTAACCTTCCAAGAATATGCACAGCTCAGATTTTACTTTGTTTGTATGACCAAAATCTGAAAGTTCTATATTTTTTTAAGTGCACATGCATTTGTATAAAATTCATGTTTTTCTTTACTAATTTTCCGTTCCTGGTTATATATGCAGTTACATTGTGAGTTTTTGACTGTGTACATGGGCATAGGTAGCTTACTTTTTGACTGTATCTCCTTGTGGATACAGTTTCTTTTTTTAGATCAATTTGGAATCCCTCTGATTAATTTATATTTTCAGAAAAGAAGTTTCAGTATAAACCTAAGATAAACTTGAGAATCTTCAGTTTCTCAAGTTCTGCTGACAGTTCCTTACAACTGATTGGTTCTGCTTGATTTCAGTTTTCATCCTAGCAATTGCAGTTTAGCATTTCTTGTAATCATGTAGTTTCTGTCCAGTTTCCAGTGGAACATTAGGTACCGAATTACCACTTGAGTGGTGATCATCTGAACTAAAAGCCAGCATTTGAGTTCATGCTATTAGCCTAAAATTACAGAAATTTTGTTTCGGTCATTATTTTGATATGAGTTTTCCCTGCTCATGCTAAACTCACTTCTACCAAACTATTTGATGTTTCTAGCAAGAGAGTCAAATCAGTGATGTTTTCAATTTTAGAATCAAGAAACATGAATATTGATATATGCATGCAGGTCTTCAGCGAGTGTCAAGTGTTGTGTGATGATATAGTAGGGGACATGCACTGTGAGTAGTATTTATATAGAGCACATTTGATCATTGATTTGCTCCATGTGAAAGGAGCTTCAGAATTCAGATTAGATCAGGGATCAATATGTTTTGCTGAACTTTCTATGTTATTTGATTGCAAATTTCAGTTTGTCAAACCACTTTGTCATGTTTTTTCCATGCTGCACATGCATTTGCTAATAACTATGGAGTAGTATTTTTAATATAACTGATCACTGATTATAGATGTTCATCTAATTTATTTTATACCACAGTATGCTTTGTTTTTTCCCTTGCATCTTCAATTTTGCAAACTCCAACTCGTGATAGGTTACTAACCTGCAGACCTCAGCTAAAAATAAATGTTCTGAATATTCAGGTAGCTTAAATGGGAGATCTAAATAATTTATATGATTTGCGTTTTCCTGTGCATAACGTCATTAGTAAGGTTTGTGATCTTTCATAGTGATGGGAATATAGTAAACCTGCATATAATGTAGAGCTTTTCCTGTAACAATTACTGTACAAAGCAAATACTGCTTTATGTTAGATAAATAAATAGCCCTTGCTTTCTCCATTTATATTATACTGAACCTTTGTTGCTCTTGCGTGTGTTTCTTTTTTTGGAAGAACGGCTCTTTGTGGATGTTTTGTTCAAAAGCAGAAGTACTTGCCACCCCTACCTTGCTTATGTTGGTTGATAAGTATGTTGAATTCAAGTTTTAATGAAAATTTGTATCTTGTTATTGTTTAAATAGTTGGTGATTAAACTGTCCTAATTTCTTTATTCATTTTCCTTTTATTTTGGATATGGATATATTTTTTTTACCTGCAACCTCTTTTCTGGAATTATATAGAAAACAACTCTTTTCTTCTCTTTCAAAAGTATTTAGGACGTAACACAACTGAGAATCTCCAGTTTTTCAGGATAAAATTGGCAAGTAGTCCTTTTGGCAAAGACTATAGTAATCAGGAGGTAAGAATTTGTTCATATATTTCCCTGACTACTTTCTTGTTTTATTTTACTTATTATTATTTGAAACCAAGTGACATCCCATATAAATGATAAATTTAGCTATTAGAACTGATTTTATCATATTTTCTTGTGCACTTTAATCAAAGTAAAATTTCTGAACACCATAAGTTGCTAACTGTGCTTTGGAAGACTAAAAGCATAGTATTTGACGCTCTAATCCTGTGTCCTCCAACTGACACCAAATCTTTTCTTGCAGGTCATAAATCTAGGTTCACTAAACCCAAAGGCTTCTATAGCACTGGGATGCCTGGTGCTAGTGGTTATTTGGGCAGCTATGGGGGTGATGGTGGGTATGGCATTACTCCACCGGGAGGCCAGGAAGAAAATGATTCATGGTCATTAGATAAGATCTAGTAGGTGATTGTGTCCCAACATCCCATTATATCATACCATGCCATCTTGTGCTATTTTCTTTAATCCTAGAATTTATTTTGCCAAAATTCATGAGGATATTGCTGGATCAATAGAAACAATTGGCTGTAAGAGTGAATGATGGTTTGATTCCTTAAATACTTTTAATATACATGCGTTGCACCAATTTCGGTTGTGGAATATTTTTGTTACAGGAACCACATAATTCTGTGTTACAACGTTACATATTTTGTTTCCATTAAGCGTATAGCGACGAGTTCTTTATGTCTATAGCGATGACTGCTACATTGTTGTAATAACCTTTAAACGTATAGCGACGACACATACTTCATTGCGATATCCTTTAAGCATGTAGCGACGACTTATATGTTGTTGCGATAACCCATAAGTTTATAGCGACGCCTCATACTTCGTTGCGATAAGGTTTAAGCCTGTAGCGACGAGTTATATGTTGTTGCGATAACCCATAAGTTTATAGCGACGCCTCATACTTCGTTGCGATATCCTTTAAGCGTATAGTGATGACTAACTTTGTTGTGATAATCTTTAAACGTATAGCAACGACTCATACTTCGTTGTGATATCCTTTAAGCGTATAGCGACGAATAACTTTGTTGTGATAACCTTTAAGCGTATAGCAATGACTCATACTTTGTTGCGATATTCTGTAAGCTTATAGCAATGAGTCCTACGTCGTTGTGATATCCTCTAAGCATATTACAACACCGTACGTGTTATTGCCACCTACAAATATCGTTGCAATATAGAGGATCGCAACGAAACTGAAACGTTGTGATAATGCTTGTTGGCAACTATCAAACGTGGTTGCAATAACAACTATAGCAACAACAATTATCCCTAGCGCAACGCCAATTATCGTTGCATCTTCAGCATATTGCCACGCTTAATCTCGTTGCAACAGGGCGATTTTATGGCAACGCGTGATACACTCGTTGTGATACCCTATCGCATCGGAGGTACTTGCAACGCCTGCCAACGAAATTTTTTCATTGCGATATCTCCATATTGCAACGAAAACACCCATATTGCAACGTTTTCGCGTCGTGGTGCTAGGCCGATTTCCTTGTAGTGTATACCTTCTTTGTTGTTGTAGCAGAGCTATGGTGCCGTCCTGTTATCTACATATTGTAGGATCGAATAGGAAGAATTAAGCCAACCAGAGCGGGGGTGAATGGTTGGAGTACCCAAAAACCAAAAAATTTAGCAGAATTAAAAGTTACCCTCGAATTGATGTGGATCGGTTTGACCGAGGTTAATTCGCCGGTCTGACTGCTCCAATGCCGTCGGTCAGACCGGTGTAGATCACCCGGTCTAACCACCCCAAAGTCATCTCTGCTTCCTGCCACCGACGCCAGTCTGACCGCCGTGTACCCGCCGGTCTGAACGCTATGTACCCGCCGTGTTGCCACCGGTCTGACTGCCGGTGTCTTACCGGTTAGACCGCCGAACCAGATCAAACACAAATCGAAGAACTCTCAAAATAGATGAGAACTTTATTACTTCTCTCTGTGTTCACAAAGTGTAACAACAACTCTCCTCACGAAAATATCGACTAAACTCGAAACCCTAACTCAACTCTCAACACAATGCTCTCAGAAGCGATACCGAGAGGCCACACCCTCCCTCTCTATTTATACATGAGGTAGACAGCCTAAAGCCATGAACCAAATTCGTACAAGAAGTCCTAATCCACCTAGGAAATCTTCCCGTACAAGAAAACAACTTTACAAACTCCAATCGTACCAAATTTAGACTCCTTCCAATTTCGACTCCGCATTCCATATGCACACAATATCTCCATCGTATGTCATATGGAATCTTCACCAACCACGTGTATTGATCTTAGTCTAAGTATCTTGCATGATATCTGATCGTCCGGACATCACCTTATCTCCAAGTTGACTCCCGATACACAGCAATACTCTCTCGAGGCATCAAGACACCTACACATGAATCAAACAAAGAAACCATATTTCGAGACCAAGCTATCTCCAACTTGACTCATTGTTAGCAAAAAACAGTATTACATACGCATAGTATCATCTAAAAGCCATAAACACGAAACACCCACGGATATCCATTGAAACAACCCGAAACCGAAACCGACATAGAATCGGCCGGTCAGACCGCGGACAAGCCAGTCTGATCACGCGTATACCTCCGGTCTGACCGGCAGCACCTACTCGGTCTGACCACCTATCAGCAGCACCTATTCACTACCTGCAAATCCAATCATCTCCAAAACCACTTTACCAATAATCTCCAAATATCAAAAAACAATAATCTCAGATGCCAATTGTTCATCACATAATAAGAATCAAACACACTTTGATTTTACACATACTACTCCATATATATATTGTGAGTTTTTTGCATACAAGAGGATCAGTACATATGCCAGGGGAAATGAAGAATCGATCGGTTTCCCTTTTTCTTGAAGCAATATTTTACGCATTCATGTTAAAAACAAGTTAGGCCCTAATTAACGAATAGTCCTCACCATTAATTAGAGATAGAAATGTGTGGCACATGCATGCATAGACTATACAGCATTTGGAGTGAGCGGCATCAGGAACTGAACCGTGATGTCTGTTATTTAGCACACTAGTACGACGAGTCACTACACCAGATCCTCACACCTTTGACGGCATACCTGTGACGGACATAAGTGCTGGTCAGTGATGAGGGTCACCTTTGACGGGTCCTACGGGATGCCATCATCGGTGAGCCATCCGGCTACGGCCCGTCACAGGTATCTAGTCACCTGTGACGGGTCTAGAATGGAATCCGTCAGAGAAACACCTTTGTCGGCTTCCACTTCTGGCCCGTCACAAGTGACTAGATACCTGTGACGGGCCATGCAAATCCAGCCCGTCAAAGGTGATATGCCTCCATCTCTAACGGGTCTTTTTTTTTCCCGTCACAGGTGAAACCACCCAACCCTATCCTTATCTATCACCCACCGACAATCCAAACCACTCATCTCTCATTTTCTTTCTTCCTTATCCATCCCTCTCTCTCATTTTTATTTCTTCCTTATCCATCCGCTCTGACTCCACGCGCGAGCATCGTATCCGGCGGCGGCCTCCGACTCCACGCATGAGCACCGACCGCCGCCGCCACCGTCGCCACCAGATCCGACCTCCCTGAGGTCGGGGGAAGCCTGATCAGGAGGCGGCCTCTGACTTCCACGAGCAAGCACCGGATCCAGCGGCAGCCTCCGACTCCACACGCGAGCACCGACCGCTGCCGCCGCCGTTGCCACCGCCGCCGCCAGATCCGACCTCCCTGAGGTCGGGGGTAGCCGGATCCGACGACGGCCTCTGACTCCACGCGCAAGCACCATCGTCGTCTCCATCCCGAGAACCGGCCGTCGTCGTCACCATCCCAACCGGATCCACGTCCCCCGACCTTGTGGAGGACGGATCCGGCCGCCGGGTGCCATCTCCTTCTTCCCTATGTTGCCGCCGACAGCCAAGCACCGCCGCCTACATCCCCTGACTGCTGGGCGGCGGATCTCTCCTCCATGAGGTCAGGGTTCGTAGATCCGACCACCACAGTGTCTCACCGGACCGCCAGCCGCATCATGCTCCTCCTCCGGGACATGGATCCGGCCGCTGCTGCCGCCTTCCCCGCCTCCCGACCAATAACCACCGGATCCAGCCGCCACAGCTTCTTCCCCAACCGTAAGCCGTCGGCTGCCGGATCCAGCCTCCACAAGTTTGGAGAATGCGGATCTGATGACTGCCGCCTTCATCCCCTAACCCCCGGTGACCACAGCTTCTTCCCCAACTCCTCCAACACCACCCGAATGTGCTTGATTTTTCTTATCTTGCAAATGTTCATTGCCAAACTTTAGATTGGGCCATATTCTGTGTTGTTTGTATGGATGTCTAGTTTGTTAAGATACTGGTCATTACTGGTGTGATGTATATTGTTACTCAAGTTGTGATGTATATTGTTTCTCTGATGTTATCAGATCTGCCAATGAAATGCAAAGTTGTTGTCTTGCATCTTGAGATGAATCTTGCATGTTTTGCTTCATATTGTGAGCTGGGGCTGAGGGGCTTTTGCATTTTTTTGATGATTTTTTCACACCTGTGACGAGTGATAAATTAGACTTGTCAGAGGTGACATACACCTCTGACGGGCTGGAAAGACTCACCTGTGACGGGCTATTTCTATGTGACCGTCAGAGGTAAGGTGCAGTCATCAGTGACCACTAATCTCTGACGAGGGTCAAACCTGTCAAAGGTAATGACATGGGCCCGTCAATGGTGAGAGCATCCAGCATAGTGAGTGACACCGGCAAAATGGTGTTCTTCTGCTGGAATGATTTCTCTGTTAAAATTTGTCGGTCCCTACAACATCGTTCAGAAGAAGAATGACGTAGCACATCGAGTTAGGACATTATTTTGATCCATGCGGGTTGGTTGTGAGTGTAACAACCAGCCAGTCCAAAGCCTACCGTAGCGGTGTATTATGCGGTTTAGGCCCACCCACCAAAGTTTAATTGTGGTGGTGGTGTAAGCCGTACTATGTAAACGTGTGCCTGTTCAATTTGTGCAGAGTTGCGATATCATTTACTCCCTCTGTTTTAGGTTATAAGACGTTTTGACTTTGGTTAAAGTCAAACTGTTTTAAATTTGACTAAGTTTGTAGAAAAAAGTATTAACATTTTCAACCTAAGACAATTTTATTATGAAAATATATTCAATTATTAATTTGATGAAACTAATTTAGTATTATAAATATTACTATATTTGTTTATAAACTTAGTCAAACTTAAAACGGTTTGATTTTGACCAAAGTCAAAACGTCTTATAACCTGAAACTGAGGGAGTAATTAGGAATGGAGATCGACCACATTGGACCCATCAAATCAAAATGAATTGGAAGTTGGATCATCTAACTTTTTCGCAAGTTTTGAATAAATTGTACTACGTTTATAATTTTAATTTCCACAGCTCTGTTCTTTTGGATGATATATATAGGCATGGTTAGTATTTTTTTTCTAAAACATCCCACATATATTATTCCTTATGTTGGGTGATCGACTTGCATTGTCTGTTATATAAACAGAAAATGCTACTCCCTTCGTTTCATAATGTAAGTCATTCTAGCATTTCTTACCTTTATAAGGTAAGAAATGCTAGAATGA